AAAATACATATATGACAATACTTATGGCAAATGATGCAGGTGGAGGGCCCTGGAGAAACTTCGTTGTGGGGTTTTGTCTTAACATGAAGTAAGGTCAATTAGGGTTTCTCTCGATTAAAGTCATCTTCTTTATAAGCTAATAAGAATGGAGAAAGATCACAACTATTCGGTACAGACATATATATATTTATAGATCTTCTGTGGCTTTTTTATGTTTTTGGCTCCATTAAAGCTTTTCATGTCAGATCTTTTCACCCTCTCTTATCATCACAATATGTTGTTTTGCTCCAATTTTGCTGAATCTCCATTACTGCAGGCACCGGTATCCATGCCTCCAAGCTTCAACACACTTGACTACTCTCTAGAACACGACCAACACCACCTTTATCCACCAAATCACCATCAACAGCAGCTCATGAAGTTCCAAGCTTCTGGTGATGAAAACAACAGTGGGTCAATGGTGGATTACATGCCTCAAACACCACCACCACCACCACATGGCTTTTACGGTGGTCCTAGCACTGGCACAATATCCTATGATAAATTGAGTTTTGCAGACGTGATGCAGTTTGCGGATTTTGGACCTAAGTTGGCTTTGAATCAAACAAAAAGCTGCGAAGAATCTGGGTTAGATCCAGTTTACTTTCTCAAGTTTCCGGTGTTACACGACAAGATGGAGGAAGAGCAGACTCTGATGGTGAACGAGGAGCCTGATGGTGAAGCAGAAAATCACGATGAGAGGTTCAAGTTGGTGGATGTGGAGGAGAAGTCAAGGGTTGGTGAAGAGGGAATGATGATGAGAGAAGATGAAGAGACTCGGCTTTCTGATGACAACAATTCCGTGCAGATTCGGTTTCTAGGTCAGGAAGAGACTCAGAAGAATGCAGGAGTGCAGGAAAACAAGAACAAGAGGAAGAGACCGAGAACTGTTAAGACAAGTGAGGAAGTTGAGAGCCAGCGCATGACCCACATAGCAGTTGAAAGGAATCGTAGGAAGCAAATGAATGAGCATCTTCGTGTTCTCAGATCACTCATGCCTGGTTCATATGTTCAAAGGGTAATAAAATATTACATTCATTCCATTGAAATCATAGTTCTAGCTAGAAAACAGCACATGATGCAGTTTTGAAACTAAATTATTTGTTATGTAGGGTGATCAAGCTTCTATAATTGGGGGAGCTATAGAGTTTGTGAGGGAATTGGAACAACTTCTTCAGTGTTTGGAGTCACAAAAGAGGAGGAGGCTACTGGGAGAAGCTCAAGCAAGACAAGTTGGGGAACCCTCCATTGCACAACAACAACAACAACCTCCTTTCTTTCCACCATTGGCAATTCCGAAAGAGCAGATGAAGCTGGTGGAGTTGGAGAGTGGACTTCGTGAAGAAACAGCAGAGAGCAAGTCATGTTTGGCTGATGTTGAAGTCAAGCTTCTAGGATTTGATGCCATGATCAAAATCCTATCAAGGAGGAGGCCAGGACAGTTGATCAAAACCATTGCTGCACTCGAAGATCTGCAACTGATAATCCTTCACACCAACATCACCACCATTGAACAAACAGTTCTTTATTCATTCAATGTGAAGGTACACATGGATCACCTTATATTTACTTTAAGATCTATGAATTAGTTTAAGATCCTTGTGTTAACTTGATTCGGCTAATGTCTGTGTATGTGTATGTAGGTGGCTAGTGATTCAAGGTTCACCGCAGAAGATATAGCCAGTTCGGTGCAGCAGATATTCAATTTTATCCATGCAAACACTAGCATGTGATAACAATTATATGTCGTTATTATAGATGTTGTGTGCTAGTGTAGGTGCTGTGTTTGTACAAGAATAACTAGTGATTCCTATAGTTACTGACATTGATTTTACACCAGACCTTTTCATCATATGTTGTTTCGATTTATTATTGTCTTTGTCGCGAGGATGACTGAACAAGATTATTTATATCAGTGGTAACATGGCTTTTCTATCATTTTCTCTCTCTCTTACTAGTAACACAATGTACAGATGTTTTAACCTTTTTATTTTCACGCTTTCTCTAATTTCTTTAAACCAGTTTCACGAAATAATACTTTTTTTCCAAGATTTATGGGGGAAAATGATACTTTGGAGCTGTAATAAATTATTTATATATATAT